AGATACGTAGCCTCTCATCCAAAGGGAAATATTATTGTGATATAAGCAGTCCTAGATCCAGCTTCAGCTCCCTTTACTGTTTACTCAGCCTGACCCAAGGGGGCTAAATCATCTTCGCTGGGAGGCAGCTTAAAACCGTATCTCTAAGTCAGTGTGGTGTTGGATGCAGGTTGCAATCTACCCTATATGTTTAGAATTTGATTTAAAGTTCTTTAGCTTCCTCATCCTCTTTTTATATGCAGGTCTCCCTCTTATGGGTAGGTGAAAAGAACATTTTTGGTATAGCTCTTTTAAATCAGAAGGAAACATTCCCTGAGGTTACTTGAAATCAGAAAAATACAAATATTTAATATAAAACTCTATTTTAGACCCTTGTGGAAAGGAGAGTGTCTTTTATGGGTCTTGAGCTCTCTCTCCTACATTCAGCGTATTGAATAAGCCATATCCTTACTAGAAGCTTACATTCTCTGTGGACATGGCCACATTAACAAATATCAATAGCACGTGATATGTGATATCTCTTGGGCATGTACAAGTTCGGTGGAGACATGGAGAAGGAGCAGTGACCTGTGTCAGCGCTTGTAGAAGGGTCCATTCAGTTTTTTAATCCTATGCCATGTCTTGAAGGTTGAAAAAGAGTTTGTTAGGCAGAAGGAAGGGAGAAAAGAAAACGAAGTCTATTCCCCAGTGGGGACAGCATGAGCAAAGTCATGAGACAGAGCAGAGCATTTTTCAGTATCCTCTTTGGGATAGCATAGATGAGGGCAAGTAACAGGAGATGAGGCTGGAAAGGGAAGCAGTGGGTAGCCCTCCCCGCCTCCCTTACCTTCTCACTCTGTCCCTCCGCAGACAGGGGGCAGCCTGTAAGTGAAGAGCTCCACCCTCGCTTTACACAGCTGTCCTGCAGCTTCCTGGCTCCCCATTCTTTGCGCCAGTTCTATCTGTTCTGCTTCAGACCTTTCTAACTTGTATCTGAGCTCATGCCTTTTTTCCGTCAACCCTTCAGATTTGATGCTAGGCATTTTTGTGAACTTCTACATGTTGCAGGAGAGGGAAATGTCACATCCTGGGACGTGCAGGAGTCCTTAGGATGGACTGCCCACCGAGTGAAAGTTCTTGGCTTCATGCAGGAACGAATTCAAGATCAAGCCGTAGTCAAGGGAAAGCAGGTTTATTTAGAGAGATACACATTCCATAGACAGAATACGGACTGTCTCAGAAAGTAAGACTGGCCCCGGGGCATGGAGTCATAGGCCTTTATAGGTTAAGTAACTTCATAGGTTAAGGAGTGGAAGGCATATTCTTACTATTTTGGGAAAGGGTAGGGATTTCTCCGGATTTGGGCCACTGCCTGCTTTTTGGCCTTTTATGGTCTACCTCAGAATTGTCATGGTGTAAGGGGGAGTGAGTTTTAGTATTACAGTGAAGGTGTAATTAGCTAAAGTTCAATGACCTGACTGTTCCCCAAGCCACCTTGGTTCCAGCTGTTTCCAGCTAGTCTTTACCACATCTAACATGCACCCCTTCTTTACTTATCTAGTGTCTGTGTCCTGCCCCTTTCCCTCCTGTCTCATGTGGACCTCCTTTTGCACATGATTCCTGTTTTCTCTCCCAAGAGCAATTCGGAGGGTACTTCAGATAAACACAACTCCTAGTCCTTGCAGGCTTCCTCTTTCGCCCTGCCGCTGGTGGCACTCCCTTGAGGCCATCTCACAAAAGGTTTTGCACAACATGCTAAGGAGTTTGGATTTTATTTTGAGGCCAATGGTAAACATTTCATGATTTGTAAGCGAAGGAGTGACATGAGCAGATTTGCATTTTGGGAACTCTCTCTCTGGTTGTGTAACAGAGAAGAACAAACCTGACTCCATATTGGATCCATTCCTTTAGCTCTAACCTTTGTGCTCTGGTGCCTGTGCTGAGTCATGCTGGCTCTGCACCTTTGTAAAAATTAATGTTGCCTATAGCCTGAAATATACAGAATAGCCCATTCACAAGGCTCTGACCTTTAAGGGTTTAACACTTCCCCATTCATATTGAAGTAAAAAGTAACAGAACAGAAAGTAACAACTGTCTTCTTGGAGGTTCATAGGAACATTGTGACCAGACTTATGTGGACAGCTGCAAGGACAAAGGATTTCTGTATCAAGAAGTTTTCAACAACCAGCCACACCCCTCTCCCCTTTTAGTATAAAAGAAGCCTGGATTCTAATTTGGGGAAGATGTACTTGAGAACTGCAGTCCACCATCTTCTTGATCTGTTGGCTTTCCAAATAATGTTTCTATTCCTTGCCTCAATACCTCATCTCTCAATTTATTGGCTTGTCCTGCAGCAAGCAGTAACATCTTAAACTCGGTAACTATTGTAATGTAGAAACAAATTGGAAGACGGTAAGAAAAGAGGCAGGGAAATCCATGGAGTTTGTAATGGTTGAAACAATGAATAGTGATGGGTAGCTGATCAAAGTAGGTGGGGAGTCAGGTTCAAGTTTCAGGCAGTAGGTACAATGTCATGTTCTCACTGGTCACCATAATCAACTTAGGTCAATTTTCTCTTTTACTCCTTAAAAGGGACTCTCAATTCCTATATATTTACTTTTATTTTATTCCTTAAATTTCTCTCTCCAACTAAAATAAATAAGCAATTATTAATCCACAGGAATAAACTTTTAGGGTTGACTCTAACATCATCTAAGGTAATTCTCTCATTAATGACAAATGGAAGCCACACTGTGAGAGGCCACATACACGGCTGCTCTCTGGCTTTCTAATCTACTTTTCATGCCATTACACAAGGATTTTTGTTTTTCTTTCCACTCCTTATTTTCCCTTACAAAAATTCTCAAACAGAAGTACACATTGCTTCTGTATTCTTCACTCTTTCTCTAGAGAGTAGGTAGGGTTGGAGAGGTGTTGGAAGAGGGATACAAAATCCATCTACAAGCAGCAATGACACTGCTCACCCACTGAGCCCCATCCCGAAGTCACTGGGCTGCAGAACTCTCTCCTGTGTTGTTAGGTTCTGCTCTATAATCCTGCCTGCTTCCAGCCCAATAGTTATGCCTCCCCTTGGAAAGTACACACTGCCTGTTTGGGGGTGACATTAAATTGAATGTCACCCCAGTGCCACCTTTGTGGCTCTCCATCAACATCTTTCATTAAGTACAGCCAAGTGAGTGTCTGATGGACTGTGGGAAAGAGGCAATTTCCCAATCATAAGGAACTTCAGTGGTTTAACAGCCCCAGACCGTGTCATACACTTCTACTGAAGGAAGATACTGCTTTTCAGCTTGTCACGGAATGTGATTCCCTTGGTATAATAGCTTTCTGTACTTCAGTGTTTGCTTTTAAAAGCCCACCTGCTACTTCCATGTTACTGGCAGCTGTTGTTAAATTAAATTAAATTTCTGAGTAAAATAAACAATTTGTCTTTGGGGAATCAAGGCCTAAGGAGTTCTGTGAATGTCAAATTACTTTTCCTGGGTTCACACCGGGAAGCCTTCACTTCTTTTTATCCACTCTCTATATAACTAATTCCAGGGCATGAAGATGTCTCAAAGTTCTGGAATGAATCTATATTGTCTACGTTCCATTGTCCTGAATGCCCGTTAGCATTTCTGTAATCTCTCCCGTAGAGAAAAAAAATTCTCCTTAGCCTTATTTTTTTCTTCCAGTGGGCTTTCTCCTTTGTACAATATGAAATGCACCTTCAGACGTGTCTCTCGGTAAATAGTATTTCTCGTTCACAGCTGAATACATTTACAGTTTCAAAAGAGAGGCAGACATTGTCAGCGGCAGCACATTACTAGGCTTTATGATCGGGAAAGGACTTTCGAGTTTCCATTGTCTGATATTTTGCAAACCACATCATACTGCAGACTCAGCGGTCACCATCCCCCAGGTGGAATATAGGATGTGTGTCAGGGGGAAGGGGAATCAGAGCCTCACACTCCCACAGAGAGGAGCGGTGAAAGGAATAGTCACAAAAGGGTAAATAATTTGCTTTACTGGCCAGAGGATGAGTGGGATGGAAAACGGACCTAATTTGCAGAAGAAGAAAATGGGGCCCAGAAAGAGCAGAGGCTTGCTCAACTGAGGCCGCACAGCTCACCAATGGCTGTTTGCAGACACAACTCTGAATCTATTGGTTGTCCTCTTTGTACATGGCTGCTATTTGGCCCATTATTTAGATCAAATGAGACCTTGTCATTAAAGAGAGTTAGAATCTGTTTTTCTTCCCTTAAAAAAAAAAAAGCTGTTAAGAGTCTGAGATCCAAGTTTGAATTCTTCTCTACTGTGTGACTCGGGGTAATATGCTTTAGCTCTCTAAACCTCAATTAATTCACCTTTACTATGGTAATACTAACAGTACATATATACCATACCAGGCTTACATAAATATTAAGTAATAAGTTCAGGCAAACCTTTTTTGCTGAAGCTTGACACCATGCTCAGTAAAATTTGAGTCATTCTTCTTAAGATTTAAAACATTATATATGGTTTGCCTATGACAGTGCATACATAGCACATAGCTACTAAATGACTAGGAGTCTTTTCCTTTTTTTTCTGTCTTATAAGGTGGAAGACTTCCATTGCTTCCACTTCATTCTTAGGATCCTCAACAAACTCTCCTTTTCTGCTCTCACCTTGGGACTACCAAAAAAGCCGTCTTAACTGCACTGTTTGAAATTCCCTTAAGGGTATTTAATAATGAGAAGCTTCATCATTTCCTACCAATCAACCATGACATTTTCCTAGAATGTAATCAAATATCATCATGCTAACAAAATACTGCCAGATGCCTACGTGGCCTTCTAATAGTATAATCAGTTGTTCTTACAATCACATTTCTGTCTTAGACATGAACATAGTATTTAAAATGCTTGGTAGGCGTATTTTTACTGATTTATCATCTTTAACACATCCATCACCAAGTCTTATTGATCATGCCTGGAGCTCCTTCAGTTCAGCACCATTGTTACAGTGTTTTTTTTTTTCAACCACAGTTCATTTTTCTTTTGCCCCCAGTGGATCTCCCTGATAGAGTGGCCTTCCTTAAACATAACGGTGATGTCACCATTCCCTCCTCATCAGTGACTCCGAGTGGGTTGTCTCACTGTCCATATGTAGTGATTCATGTTAGGATAAAAATCAGAACCTTTTATGAAGACTGACCCGTTACATCGATAAGCTGGCCCACTGGCCACGCCTACAACTTTTTTCTTATCACTTTTTCTGACATCTGCAGTATCATCTATACCCCTGCACCTCCACACTGTTGCGAATCATGTTTTATCTGCCTGAAATGCTCTTTTACAACTCTGTGCCCGTGCTCCCCTCCCTGTCATTTTTATCCTCTTATTTCACCCCTTTGATTCTTCACGTTTTTAGATTACCACTGGGGCAGGCAGAATAATGGCCCTCCAAGGATGTTCAACTACTAACCCTTGAAACCTATTATTACAGGCAGACCTTGGAGATACTGAGGATTTGCTTACAGACCACTGCAATAAAGCAAATATCTCAATAAAGCAAGTCACACAAATGTTTTGGTTTCCCAGTGCATATAAGAGTCATGTTTACACTATACTATAGTCTATTAGGTATGCAACAGCATTGTGTCTAAAAAAAAGTACATTCTTTAATTAAAAATTCTTCATTGCTAGAAAATGCTAAGCATCGTCTGACAAGGCAAGGTTGCCAAAAGCCTTCATTCTGTAAGAAACACAGTATCTGTGACGCACAATACAGCAAAGTGCAATGAAACAAAGTATGACTGTATGTGTGATGGTTAATTTTATGTGTCAACGAGGCTAAGTATTTGGTCAAATATTATTCTATATATTGTGAAGGTAATTTTAATATGAAATTGACATTTAAATCAGTAGACTTTGACTACCATCTTTCATGTGAGTAGGCCCTAATGAAAAAACAAACAAACTGAACTCCACCAATGAAGAGAGGAAAAAAAGTGTATGCATGTGTGTGTATACACACACCCCCCCCCACACACACATTATTGTGTTCTCTGGAGAACCTGGAATAAAATACTATGTTATCTAAGCTGACAAAGCAAAAGGAATATGGCATATGTGATTAAATCAATGATCTTGTGTTGGAAAGATTATCCTGGATCATCTAGTATAATCACAAAGGAGGTGGGAGTGTCAGAGTTAGACAGAAGCCAAAGATGCTACCTGGCTGACTTGGAAGATGGAGGAAGGGGTAACAAGCTAAGGAATTCAAGAGGCCCCTGGAAGCTGTGAAGGGCAAAGAGATAGATTTTCCCCTAGAGTCTCCAGAAGAATACAGCCTTGCCAACACCATGATTTTAATCAAATGAAATCTATTTCAGATTTCTGACATCCAGATCTATAAGATATTTGTGTTGTTTTAAGTCACCGTGGCATTTTTGTTATAGCAGCAATAAGAAGCTAATACAGATTTTGGTGAAAGAATTCTGAGGCACATGACAGAATATGTCTAGATTGTCTTGAACAGACTGTCAGTATAAATGTGAACATTAACAACTCTTCTGGGGAACACTCAGAATAAAGTGAAAATCATGGTAGAGAAAACCTATATTGTCTTAATGAACACATAAATCACGATAAACACACTGTTGGTGGAAATATGGGCATTAAAGATATTTCTGGTGAGGGATCAGGAGAAAATGAGGAGAAATGGGAAACTGGAGGAAAGAAGAGCCTTGTTATATGGTGGCAGAAGGCTGAGCTGAATTGCATCCTACAGCTGCGAGGAAAGCAGGACCTGTAGAACCTTTCAGACAGGCAAAAATTCATCTGAAAGAAGGTGCCTGGAAGAATCTTTCCAGTAGAGTTTGTAGACCCTCTGTGGTTAAGAATTTTTTGCAGGTTTTCATTTTTGATTGCTTTATTACATAAAACTGATTAGTGTTTTTTAAATAAATTTTCCCCATTGATAACCACACCATACTCTTTATCTGAACCATAAATTTTAAACAGAACATGAGTGTCATCCTGAGAGAAACAGTAAATGCTTAGCACTTCCAATTATTAATGATAAAGCTTTTGAGTGTCATTTGTATCCAACCTTTATGTTACTAGCAATAATAAGTCACTCATGTTTTTTGGTTAAAATAATGAATTGGTTTTTCTTCCCCAAGATACAAATGAATTTGTTTTTATTCTTCACTAACTTCCACATCATCGAAAGACAGTCCAGGCTTTTCTAAATTTTGCATAGTATCAGAAAAATGTCTAGACTGTAGTGCATTATTAATGTCATTTTTTCTCTCCTATAGATTCAGAGGATTTATTTAAACTCAAAAATACTAGTCACAGCATAATTCAAGGATGATGATGGATTTATGCTTCACCTAAAGCCCAAAGTGTTTCATAAACAATCTTTGGAGCAGCCTTGCAACTAATCATGATTTAGACCAACTGGAAGGCAGTGTTGAGTGTTTCACAGATGCTACCAAGGTGGAAATCCAATTCCCCAGCAGTCTCTGTGGCCACCCAAGTCAGTCAGCTTAAACCAATGGAATCATAACTTTCATTGTTAGTTAACTTTGCTGCGTACTACAGTTACTATTGCATTAGTTACCAAATGATATGAACAAATCTCAGTTCAAAACAAAACTAAACAGGGTGGCCATTTCAGTACTGAAATGGTAAAATGAATTTTTGAGAACTTAAAAACCTAGATAGAATACAGGTGGAAGCAGGCAGATGTAGGTGGCTATTTTAACAGTTCAGGTACAAAAACAAAAACAAACAAACAAACAAAAACAAAGCATAAATACAGGACAGAAATAGACTCATGGACAGAGAATACAGACTTGTGGTTACCAGGGGGGTGGAGGGTGGGAAGGGATAGACTGGGATTTCAAAATTGTAGAATAGATAAACAAGATTACACTGTATAGCACAGGGAAATATACACAAAATGTTATGATAAATCACAGAGAAAAAAATTGTGACAATGAGTGTGTATATGTCCATGAATGACTGAAAGATTGTGCTGAACACTGGAATTTGACACAACACTGTAAAATGATTATAAATCAATAAAAAAAGTTAAAAAAAAAGAGTTCAGGCAAATAAGAAAGGAAATCTATTCTGTGTGAGATGGTGGTAAGTGTTAGAGAGAAAAAGGGAAGCAAGAGTGCTGGGAGACATTGCGTTTGGAGTTCCTGTTTCATGTGGGATAGTCGGGGAAGGCTTCCAAAAAACAGTCAGCAGCAGTCATTCTTTCGTGATAATTTTCAGAGCTATCAACTCACAACGTGTGCACTTCACTGCGTGTGTTTGTTATACTTCAAAAATGCTTTTAAAAATTCAGTCATCCTCCACAATGTTTCAACTGTTTCACTTGTTTTAAAATTTTTACTTAAAACATAAAATTCATAACTTTGATGTCATTTCTATGGTTTACGTGGAATCTCTGGACTGGAAAGGACATTATCTGAAATAATAAGTCTAGTTTTATTATTTATGACTGAGAAAAACGGGATCATTGAGAACTCTGAAAACTGTATTAGATCTTCGTGCAGATGGTACAGTCTACTGCTAAAGAGAGAGACTGGAGTTTCAGCCAAGACTCAAGAAATTTTCCAGATGTTTTAGATGGTGCTGTCTCCAAATAAAAGCATCTCTGGATCATGCAATAATTAGGTGAATCATTTTAATCATCTTTTGCAATAAACTTTGCATTTACTTCTAGTCAACACATACACATCAAAGAGAATTAAAAATATGTCTGAGAATCTAGAAGTTGGAAACTGGAAGAATATGAACATGAGCCAAGTCGGCAGCTTCTCGTGCTCCGGCTGCGGGAGTGGTTTGGAAATGGCATCAGCCCTTGGATAGTCAGTGTGGGAAAATTATGGAATGGAAGTCATTAAAAACTTGAAAAATCAACTTTAAGCTAAATTTAGCTTTTCTAAATGCTACTTTAACAAATATGCTAGTATCTTTTTCTCTTCACAAAAAAAGAGACGTATCATGGCTGAACCTCACAGATTCATTCAGTGAACAGTTAAAGTGATCAGATGTATAAATCAAAACAAAGAATCCATGAAGGAGAAGTGAAACTCTAAAAAATGAAGAAACATGACATACCACTAGAAACAAAACAAACTAAGTCTTAGGGGATTAGATTGCTTAATAAGTTATGTGAAAATGTGCCCACAAGATGATAAACATGAAAGGCATAATTTTATATTTCTTTTAATTTATTGAGTTCTGAAAGCTGGTCCAATGATATCTACAAAGCTCTGTGAGTTAATAGTAAAATATAGTTTAATAAAATTGAGGTAACTAATTAAATATGATATTCTAATAAATAATCTGCATCACTTAATACAATCTAATAGTCTTTCTTCACTTAGTCATCAAGAGATTGACTACATTCAAATCTCAGGCAGTATTAAAGATAGTTAAAAACATTTGAAAATGAGGAAAATGTATCTAAGAATTTGATTTAGAACTCTCTGGCTAAAAATCCCAAAACTTTCGAATCTAGAAGAAATAGATAATTTCCTAACAAAATATGTTACAAAAATGACTTCCCCCTCAATAGGTCACTTAAATCAACCAGTACCAAGAAGAAAGTAGAAAAATAACTGAGCTGTATCATTTAAAAAAAACAAAACAAAACAGGACTAGCATGGTTTTGTAGCTAAGATCTAACTTTAAAATACACATAATTCTGATGGTCAATAGTTACAGATCATTGAAAAAGAAGGATAATGCCCCAATTCATTTTATAAAGCCAGTTGTTTCAGTTAGGGGTTGTTTTAACTGTACCCATTAGAAACCTCACTACAGTGGGAAAAAATAAAGGCTATCTTAGCTTCAGAACAAACATGTCCAAGGGAGGGGGTCGCTGGTCTCAGCTCCATTGGTTGGAAAGTTCAAACCAACCGCTCTCCTATTTTGTGGCTTTTCCCTCCTGCACTTCCAGCCACCAAGGGTTAAAGTCTGGTGGAGGAGGGCACAAGGAAGACAGACTTCTGCTTCTATCTTCTGGGCCAGTGTGGTACGGCTGCTCCTCACTGAAGGAAGTGGGAAATTGAGTAGTTAGTTTTTACAGCCTCCACCATAGAAACAGGCAAGAAATTAAGATTAGATGAGTCAGTCTCTTATAGCATAAGCACAAAGGGAGAAAGCTGCTCGAGGTTTTATAGCGTATGGCAAAGTGGTGTCTGACAGAAGAGCCCTTCTGGTGGAGGAAACCGGACATCTAGAAAGGGGACAAAGCCAAATGATGTAAAATATCCAGTGTCAAAACTGAGAGTTAGAACTTTGGGAAGGTTTGGTGTCTGACTGTAATACGTTCATCAAAATTTGTCAGAGTTAGATTCCACATACCTCAACTAAAAGTAAGAACTGGGCAGGGAGTTAACCGCGGGCTGATGCGCACAGAGGTTAGGAGGCTCCGTAAGCCGGGCGCTCACCTTCAGAGCTTGCTGGTGCCCTGCCTTCAACTCTGTTCTCAGTTCACATGTGGTTCCCGTCAAGTCTCTCTGCTCTTGAATACACCCAGTCTCTTCATTTGAATGGCGACTTCAAAATCAGTCAGGGTGTGAGTGAGCAGCTGAAGCCCCTGAGTTCGGCCTCTTCTGTTGCTCTAATTTAGATCCCCAAAGAAGAGCTGATGCTATCGTGACAATAGAGTTTCTTGATCATGTACACAAATATTGGATTCAAATGGAAGTGGATTTGACCCCCTTCCCAGTGAATTGTTACCCAAGTGGTTTTGAGTAAAAAATTTACCTTCCCTGAATCTTACATTCTGACAGGTGACACCACACTTGTAAAGTATCTCCTGCATAGAGCAATACAAATTGAGTATTGAGCGTATTGGCTGGTGTATAGTAACTGGTTTAATACATTTTAGCCGTAGGTATTATCGTTAGATGATGCTTATGAACAACTAAGAAAGGTCTTGTTAGAGATTTTCTCTCAGCATAATTTTAATCATTATTTCAGTCATTTTTTCAGCGTCTTCTACTGTGCTAGAAACTTTGGGACTTACTAAGGATATGGGCCTAACAATGTAACACATGTGTTAATTTATATAACATATACGGTGACCCCAAAGTAATTTTCCCTCTACACAAAAAGGAGCTGAAAATAAGATCAGCGAGCTTCCTTGTCCAAAACTAAAAGATCAAAGGTAGGATTAGGTTTCTCAATTCTAAATTCCCTACTTTTCCTTGAGAAGTTTCCGAAGTGGTTGTGCCTCAGAGTTCCCTGGGAAGCTTTTTTTTTTCTTTTTGCTTTTTAAGTAAAGATGCCTGAGGCCGACTCACACAGTTTTCTGATTCAGTGACTTTGGGAACTTCCACTGTACCTTCACCATCCAACAGGGTGGCCACTAGCCCCATGTGACTATATACATTGAAATGAATATTTTAAAATCAAATACAATTTAAATTCAGTTCCTCAGTCACCCTCTCTACATCTGGAGAGCTCAATAGCTACATATAACAAGTGGTTACTGTGTTGTACCACACCGATTATAGAATATTACCATCATCACAGAAAGTCCTGCTGGACGGCATTGCTCGTCTGTCTCATTCTGTTCCCTAGAATCTCATAGTCAGCCTAACTGGGTATAAAGGAAGAATTTTTGCTGCCAGAGGCTTATGCAGAGGGTGGGGTTGCTCCTCGAGAACCTGGCAATAAGATGCTCCTCTGAGAAAGAACCTGTAGAATCAATGCCAGCTTGATCCTGTCACAGAAATGAAAGAGCTGGTGGTAGTGGTTCACCAGCCAATGGACTTAGCTATGAATTGCTTGATTATAATAACACATTAATGATGGACCTTTAGAATGGTGTTAATCAGTTGCTAAAGATTAGAAAAAGAGAACCTCACAGAGGTTAGATTTGGACCATGACCGTTTAAGTACTTCAACAAGTCAAGATCTTCTTTATTATGAGACTCCTGCAGCAGGTCAGTGTATTATGTCATACAGTTATACCTTGTAATCTATGTAATTCCTCACATTTTTAATTCCATATATTAAAATGATCAATAACTGACATCATGAGTATCTGTCTTCTTGTGAGTCCGCCAGAGAAAGACAATATGATGGAATGTCTACCTCAAATATTTAATTCTCATTGATCACCATATCCTGTTAAAAATTAGAACATTGGAATTCTGTTCTTTTTTCCATTTTATTCACTTGTGTATAGGAGCTTGTCACTGAGAAATGGATCTGTCCCCCTGTGCTGAGCCTGCAAGGCTGAGGTCTAGACCTTGAGGTACAGCAAGTTAAACACACCCAACAAAGTGATGGTAAAACTGTGATGAGGCCTCTGGGTACCCTCTTTGCCCCAGACAACAATGACTCACATTGGTGGGGTCCCTGAATATGTTAGCAAAACTGATCAGCAGACTACAAAATAATTTCTACTTGTAATATCTCACTTATTTTCATCACAGTATTACAAAGATATTTTAGTGTAATTTGCTATAAGAGAATTTGAGGTTCAGGGAAGTATAAAGATTTGACCAAAGTCGTGAAATTAGTTGGAGAGCATAAGTGAACACTCTGTCTTTCTAAATCCTTGCTAAGCACTTTTCCCATTATTTCTTTCTCATTCTGTCAGAACTGAACAACCACCTATGACCATGTCATATTAGAATTCTGTAGCCTCTGAAATCTGTTCTGGAAATTAACTTTTAATTGATTTATCAAGTTCATTTAATCATCACAGTGCAGTTTTGTTTATTATTTCTCTGATGACTAAATGCAGTAGAATTCTCTGATGTGTCTATGGTTTAATTGCGTTGAGGCTCATTAAGTAGAGCATTTGTCATTGTTTCATGCAGCCTAGGTGGAAAATCATCATTTGGAAATTAGACTGCAGGCTAGGAGAGTGTTAGAAATTCAGTATCATTAATGTTTTCTTGGAGGAAATAACAGACCATTTTAAGTTGTGTGTCAATGGATCCTTGTTATCCAGGACCAATGTTAAAATTGTATTCCTGTCACACACAGATAGATACCACTAATATATATTTATTGGATGGATACATGCACTCTCTCTCTTTAAACCTAGAATTTTCAACTGATCACATCCCAAGCCAAAAATCACTTCTAATGGTACATGAAGCTCATGACTCCAAAATCTATACCTCTCCTTGGGTTCCTGAGTCTCATATTCTGTTTCAAATCTCTAGCTGTATGTTTTATGTGAATATCCTTTCTATACCTTAAAATCTGCCTAGTTGAATCAGACATCATTCATGGGCTCCCTCTACAAACCTGCTTCCCTTTACTCCCAGCTGTCTTTCCAGTATCTTCTCAGTAAGCCGAACTAGATATTGTTGGAGTCATCTTCACTTTCCTTATCTTATGGCATAAAATCTTTCCCCCTAAGTATCCCACCTACTCTAGCTCTGAAATGTCTCTTTCATTCATCACATCTTTATACCACTTCTGTCAAACACAGACAGTACTTGCTATATGCAAATATTAACACATCTAATCCTCATAAGACGCCCAGGAAGGTAGGTGATAGCATTACCCTCATTTTTCAAAGGAAGAAACTGAAGCCGAATTTAAGTAGCTCCCTAGGATCACATAACTATTGAACCCTGGAGAAAAGTTTCAAACCCAGGCAGTCTGGTCCTTGAAGCCATGCTCTTGCTGACTGACAGCGCTGTGTGGCACCTGCGCCTGCCTGTCCCAGCGCTGCTCACACCGTCGGGTCCTACAGTCTCCCAACTGGTCTTTCTGCATCCAGACTCTCCTCTCCTGAACCGCTTGAAAACGGTGAGGGGATGGGGGCAAGAGAAGTTCTTTTGACCTTATTATTTTCTCTTCCTCCCACTTAAAACCTGCAAAAATTTTCATCACTCTCCCCTCTCCTTCCCATGCTCACAATTCCCCCAGTTTATAAATTTCCTCCATAAAATGACCCCGCCTCCTTATTGTTACTTTCCTGTAAGTAGCCTTTATGTCAGTCTTACCATTGGGCTCTGTCCTGCCTCAGTGCCCATGTGGGTGCTGTGCCCTGCTTTTCGAACGCCTTTATCCACATCATGCCACATGCTCAGGAGTCCTGCCAGTTCTTCAAAGTCAAGTTTATCTTTTAAAACTCTCTTTTGGAATCTCTTGATTCCTAAATGAAGTTATCTCCTCACCTCTCTGTCTCTTTGTCTTTCTCCCTCTCCTTTGTGTGTCCTCTTGGTACCTCTTTTAGAGGATTTAACTCATTCTGAGAGGTGAGGGAGGTGGGGCACATAAAACTGGAAAAAACAATTCCAAGTACAATGTGGAAGAAGTTTGGAACATCAACGTTAGATATGTCATCTACTTCAAACTCTTTATTTTACAGATAAGGACCTTAAAAATGTATGAGAGACCGGGACTTGTTCTGCACTGATAAACCCGCTGACTCTGATTACAGGATACTTAATCGGTATTGCAAATAAGCCTCATCTATACATACAATGAAATGCTAAGCAGACACTAAACATGATAATAGAAAACTTGGAAAGATATCTGTGGAAACATACAAAGAGAAAGATTAATAAAATGCTACACATGTTCGATTCTATTTATAGGATATCACGTGCATATATGTGCATGTATGTTTGGGTGTGTGCCTGAGAGAACTAGGCAGACAGAGATATGTGTGTGTGCAGAGGGATGCCCGTCAAAAAGCTAACAATGATTATGTTTAGATGACGACATTTTTTTCTATGTAATTTTGGTATCATTTAAAATATTTACAACGATAATGCATTATTTTTTATGAGCAGTAAAAACGCAAAAGGGCTGAATTGGTATTTAAAAAAGAAAAGGAAATGACTTCCTCTAAATATTTGCTTGGGAAGTACAACAAAATTTCTCCTAGAGAATCCCTGTCACTTCATTTCTTTTTAGGGTTTTCATTTTATGGTATTTTCAGGAAGGACTTAATAGCCAAGTAGTATAGATAGAACTGAGCAGTTTCTCTGCTTCTTTAAAATTTGACTTTAGCTAAATTGATGAAGTTGCTTTAGTTGCTTTGCTCACAGTTTAAAAAGAAAGGACGCCATTTCCCAGCAAAACATCTTTTATTCCTGGGGTGTTCTATGATCGTCTTAGCCAAGAGGGTTGAAAATCTCCTACGTGTTTCTTTTAACTAGTTGTGTGACATTTTTACAAGCAATTTAAGATTACTGGCAAAAGGGACATTAATGGACTGAAGGGTCACACTTTAAATGAGATCCATTGAAAGGTCACTCCCGACTTAGGGGGCCTTCCTGTAGCCTTTAACAGCAGTCCTGATTGCCTCACTAATAACAGGCCACTCAATCCCTGACTGCTCCTCATTACATACTTGAACAAAATGTTTTAACATTTTGAGAGCAAGAGCCTTTTTTTTTCATAAGTGCGTTCTTTGATTGTCCTGGTTCCCTCAGACAGCACACATCCTTCTGCCTGGTCTCAGCACCTGTCCCGCCCACTTTACCTGGCGTGTGCCAGTCTGCTTACCGCAACTCTGTGTAACTTTAATTTGGGCAGCATCTGCTATTGCACGTCGCTGCAGCCCTGCCACGTGGTGCGCAGCGCATGCACCCTGGAGCCAAACAGGCCTGGGCTTGTGCCTCGGTCCTACTCATTGCCAAGTGGCCTCAGATGAGACCCTTTACTTCTTTAAACTGCAGTTTCTTTGTGTGAAAATGGGCAAAATTCTAAATCCTGGTTGTCGTGAGGCTTTGGTAAATCAGCGAATGTATTTATAAAGTTCTTAGCAGTGACTGGCAGATTGTAGATTCTCTATAATGTGTGGCTATTAAGAATCAAACTAAAACCGCTCTGGCTTCTCCCCTAAGTGATGCCACATGCCTCTCTATAGTCTTTTCCGTAGTATAATTAATCATTTGGATTTTAAAAGCGTCTTATTTTACAAAGGACCTCTGCCTGCACAAAGTTACTGCAATAATCCTATGAGGTATATATGCAAAATATCCCCATTTAACAGGTAAAAATATGGAGGCCTTAGGAAGAGGGGAGGTTAGTAATAGACCACAAGTGTTCAGAAATGAAGACAAATTGTCTTAATAGCATGCCCACACTCCCTCCCTGCTTTTAACAGGTAATTTACAATGATGGCCACAAGTCTTGAGTGAGGTTAGCCAGACAAGTGCAAGTACTCACACAGATTTAAAAAAACATATAAACTTGAGTCCCTACTATATGTCAAGCTACTTGGAATTTTCACAAACATCATAATTTGTAATCTGGGTGGCAACTCTCTGGGGTAGGAATCATCTCCACCTTACAGATAAGGTCAGTTAACTTGCCTGCGATCAGGTTCAGCTTGAATAAGGGATGGATAAGTTCTGGGGCTTTAATGTACAGCATAATGACTAGAGTTAATACTGTATCGTATGCTTGGAATTTGCTGAGAGAGTTGATCTTAAGCGTTCTCACTGCACACACACAAAATCATAACTCTGTGAGGTGATGGATATGTTAATTAGCTTGATTGTGGTGATCATTTCACAATGTTTGCATATAGCAGAACAGCACATCGTATACCTTCAATATATGCAAGTCTCACTTGTCAAGTATACCTCCGGAAAGCTGGGCAAAAAAGTGTAATTTAAAAATTAGAAACTCTAATTGCGTGTTAAATATTGCAACTTTGACACGTGGGGCTCTTCTAGCTTTTGGAAGTAAAGCATTTTCATCATTTCTGAGAGTAGAAAACTAAGCAAATCAAGAGAGTGCCAAACGAAACAGCAGTACGAATGGTCTACAAATGCTCAACAATACGACTGACAGAAGCCAGACACAAATAGCATAAATTGTATTATTCAGCTTC